CGCGTCCCGTGCGCCCCCACCAGGCGCCGCGCCCGCTCGCGGCGGGGACCCGGCCGGTGCGCTGCAGACCTCCGGCCCCGCGGCGGCGGCTCTCGCTGCCCGCTCCGTGCCGGGCCCGGCGGGCGGCCCTGCCCTCTCCGGGGCGATGCGCTGAGCGCGCCGAGGGCCGAGCTCGGGGACGACGGCAGCGGGGGGAGCCGAGCCCATGGAGCCGGCGGGTACCCGGCGGAGCCGGCGGACGCCGCCGCCGCCGCCGCCTCAGCCGCCGCTGCTGCTGCTGCTGCTGTTGCTCCTGCAGGTGGCGGGGCCGGCGGGCGCCCTGGCCGAGACCCTGCTGGACGCGCCGCGGGTCATGGACACCAGCTCCAGCCCGCCCAGCCCCGCGAGCGTGGTGGCTCCGGGCACGACGCCGTTCGAGGAGAGCCGACTGCCCGTGTTCACCCTGGATTACCCCCACGTGCAGATCCCCTTCGAGATCACCCTGTGGATCCTGCTGGCCTCCCTGGCCAAGATCGGTGAGCGAGCTGGACCCGCGGGGTGCGGCGGGGACCAAGGCCGGGAGGGTGCCCGGATCGGCGAGTTGACCTCTGGGTCGTGGCCGCCTCCCCGTGGACCAGGGCAGGGACGACAGAGCAGCTTCAATGAAAGGGACCCTGGGAGGGGCAGTTTCATGCTTTGCCTCTTGAGTGGACCTTGGCCTGGAAATAGCCCCGGAGTTTTAACCCGTACAAATTTAGCGATTTGCGGCTTGCTCTGCCTGGAACGCCGAGTGTGACAGCCCTCTGCTAAAGCTGAGACCTCTTTACTGAGGAAGGAGGGCAGTGGGCTGAAGTTCATGGGTCTCACCTACTGGGAGAGGGGCGGCAGCAGCACCCAGGCTAGAACGGTGGAAGCCCTGGATGCTTGGGAGAGAGACGTGCCTTGGCAGGGACGCAGACGCTGCCGTGCACCTGACTAGTGAGGTGCCTGGAAGGGGACCAGGGACACCTGAGTGCCTGCAGCACGACGGGGACGCCCTGTCTCCTCCCTTCCTCTGGGCTGAGGCTGTCACTCTCCAGGAAGCATTTTCGTGGTGACTGAGGCCAGTGAAGCCAGATGCATGTTTGAAAGTAATTAACCCACGTTTCCAAACTACATTTTAGTCTCCTTTGGAAAGCAGGAGCCTCCGAATGGATCTTCTCATCTTCATTTATTTTCACCCCACATAAACTTGTGTTAGGATCGTGGAGCTTGTACTTTATATATTAAATACTTTTTAATTTAAAATACGGCAACTACTGTTGTTGTAATGATTTCAAAAAGTTATCAGGGCGACAGAATTTATGCATTATTGCGTCTGTTTTATACATCTGCTCCTTGAGAGGTCCCATGCTCTAAGGTCTCCATAAAGGATGAAAAGAAACATTGCTGCACCCCCGAGCCTAGAGACTGGTGGGAGAGATGGCATACACCACAGCACTCGTAATCCAGGGAAGTGCTAGGTGGGATAAGACATTCAGAAAAGACTGATACATAGTGTAGGGAGAAGGGAAGCACTTCCTCATGCCGAGGATGCGTTTAAACTAGGTTTTCACGGATGAGCAGAAGGTGGTCAATTGGAGATGAAATGGAACAACATTCCAGAGAGGAATAAGCAAAGGCCTAAATTGAGAGGGAAGCGCAGAGCAGGGATGGTTTATAGAAAGTGCAGGGTGCAGGAGGTAAGCCTGAAACAAACCTTCGATGTCAGATTAAGTTAACTAGCTTCTGTTCATGGTGACCAAAGGAGGCATGTGCTATTTAAAGGCTTTGCAGCTGGTAATTGCCTGGTTTTGATGTGGCTCTACTAGTTGAGTGTTTTAATTTTGCCTGGGAAATGGAATAAGGGGGAAAGGATGTCCCTGTCTATTATGCACATTTGCATAAACTCATTGCCTGTCATAGTAAACGCAGGTGCCGTCTCATGCGGTCCTCACAGCAGCCCTGCCAAGTAGAAAGGGCAGATATTAATACCCACTCGGTAGAGGTGGAAACTGAAACTCAGAGAGTTTGCCCGAGTTGCCCACGGACGCACAAAGCGCGGAGCCAAGCGCAGGCGCTGTCTACTCTTTCTCTCTCTGAGCCTCTGTCACCAAAGGGGTGCTTTCATGCCCTGTTTCCATGACTACTTCTCTGTTGCCATTTCTATTCAATTATAGCTCTTTCTTCTGTTCCTCACTCCTGATTATTTTAATCTGATCAATCACACTAATAACAGCCGCTAGTAGTCACTTAAGTTCATTATCTCTAATTTTCACAACCACCCGGGACAGGTATGATGACCGCGTTTCAGATAGGAGGAAACTGAGAGCTGGGGAAGTTACCTTGCTGCCTGATGGTGAGCCAGAATTCCAGCCAGCTCTGCCCGATGTCTCATCTTCCTGTCTACCCTGGAGGCTTGTTTGGTGTCAGGGTTAAATGAGAAGAGATCTGTATACCCTTCTTAGGACAGTGCTGGGCCTGCAGTGAGCGCTGAATATTGTCACCATCAGGAGTGGTGGAAGAGTAGCAGGGCTTACTCCACCAGTTTTCTGGCACTGCGGTTCCTTTTCCCCTGGACTGGGCTGCCTCTTGCATTTTCCTGCTTCTGTTTTAGGCTCTGCCTTTTCCAAGCGTTCTTATTCTGAGCATTGCCTTTTTACACTTGCTTTTTTCCATCACAATCTATTCGTCTTACGTGTCGTTATCGTGTTAATTGTATGGTATTTTATTAGAAGGCGTTCTTGCTTGTGTGAGCTCCTAGGTGTATTCATCTGCCTGTGGGCAGTTTTCTCATCCAGATGTGTTCCTGTTCCCTGGCATTTGCTGTCCTGCCTGTCTCTTTGCCTGTACCAAAAGTGGAGCTTCTCTGACTACTGTTTCCTCTTTCCTCCCTGCACCTGAGGTGGTGCCAAGATGGAAACAGACAGACGTTCGTATCTCCCAGCCAGAACGGTCTGAGTGGAGTGGAGACCGCCGTGGTGGGGTGAAGGCGACGGTTCTCAGAGAAATAAGTGTAGGCTTCTAGTACCAAAAGCTAGTGCTTGAGGGTCTTTTCTAGGTGCTGCCTTGATGTAATCCAGCCCTGTCCTCCTGCTGCTGCGCTGTTCCTAGAGGAGCTGGGAAATGCCCAGGGATCCCCCCCCCTCTACCTCCCCTAGGCCCTCAACTTTCTCTTTGGCTTTGGAGAAGACTGTGCTGGTACCAAGGGCACTTTTACAGCCCATTAAACTGTGGTCTGGCCATTAAATTCCATTTTAACTCTTGCACTGGAAAAACTGTTGCTTTGGCAGGACTCATGTGACTTAATTGGCTCACGTTTGGGTAGGGTGATGAATTGAGCAGTGCAGGGGGATGTGAGGCTATGGGGTAACAGGAGTGTTAACACATGCAAAATGCCATGGTTTCTATTTGGGGTACTTTGATGCTGTGTACCTAATGGACCTGAGCTTACCTGCCCCAGAGAACATGGAGAAACGTTGCTAGTGATTAAGCTGAACGGGGATCACAGATTGCCCGCAACGGAGGCTCCTGATAGCATTTGTAGGAGGTTGAAATCATGCCCGAGGGTGAATTCAGAATCGTTTTCGAGATTGCTGCACAATATAAACTTAGAAATAACTACAGTCAGAAGTGAGAATATGCATTTTTGGCAGAGTATTGAATGATTCAGCTTTTCATTGTTTTAGTCGATTATCAGGGATAATCGACTTTCTAATTTGTTTGGTCAAAAAGAAAGTTCTGTAGAGAAGAAAGTTTCCTAAAACGATGACGATGGTGATGTTGTGTATGTGTGCGTGAAGTAGGTTAAGTAAATAGAAGAACATAGCAAATTCAGCCCTCCTTTGAAAAGTTTTTAAAAAAAATTTTGGCAAGAAACATCTCCCAATTTGTTTTTCACTTAGATCCTCATGCATGTGAACTCTTATTGTTCTTTCATTTTGAATGTTTATATTTCGAATGAACTGTTGATTTTTTTTTTTTTTTTTTTTT